GCATAGGAAATTCCATATGTACTGGTTGCCGAAATAACAAAAGCCCTCTGTACTGGTGGGTAAACTACCTTGTAGAAGTGGTACCATGCAGACAGAAGGGTGGAGTAGCAGCAGGGAAGCAGGTGCTGCTGTTGGTAGTGGTGTCACGGGGACCAAAATTCCCCGGTCAGTCCAGGTGGGCAGTGCTGGCATGTAGGTATGTACCCAGCTGAGCTGCGCCCAGCTTGCTGCAGCTAAGCACTGGGCTCTGGGTCCTAAGGATATGATTTAATGAGGAAGGCACAGTGAGAGTATGGTGCCTTTGCCTGAGGTCAGCCTGTGCCTCAGACAGGGGCTTATGAAAACCATGCCAAACAGATCTCACCAGCAATTCCTAAAGGCCAAAAGTTTACCAGGAAGTTATTGGAACAATTGAATGAATGCTTTATGCCACAATCTATGTCACTTGGAAGACAGCTTTAGGATAGACTCTATATAATTTACTTTATTTAGAGAATATATTCTTAAAGTTTTGATTCATATATTTAATTTTGATTACTTGACCAGTTGTTAAAGTTTTGTTTTATTTAACATTTAACATCATCCCTAAGTGACAGAGCTCTTGGGCAGAAGAACTTGGGCTCCAGAGTAGGGCCCATTCAGAAGAGGAAACACTTGCTGGTCATATTTCTCCAAATGAGTTGATGTCTTCCCTGATGTGAATACATCAGGTGATTAGATGTTCTCTGTAAGAGCTTTTAGCTCTTTACCTGTTCTACCATTCTGGAGTCCACTATACTGTGAAGTCCTGGCTGTACCTCTCAAGGAAAGCTAATCACAAAGCAAAGGGCTACTATGGACTGACGAACCACAGGTTACACAGGATGGTGCAAGCAGAGCAGCAGTGCATCAAAGAGGCCAGCCAGAATCTCCAGCTCTAGTGGCCAGCAGACCCAGGCTTACACCATTGTTCGCCAGGACCTAGCTTCCTGAGAGTGGCCAAGCCAGCCCCGCTGAGCTTCAGTCTCTACTGCTGCACAATGGTGATAAGAAGGCTGATCTCAAAGAGCTGTTATGTGAATTGTAAAACAAAAATACACATGTAAAATGCACCAAAAGTTCCCAAGTTTCTGAGTTGTATGAGTTTTACTGTCATCTTTGAACTTTTCTACATTCTTTATGTACAATGAACATATACATTAAAAAAAAAATAAAGGTGATTTAAGAGAAGAAAAAGCAAGGAAGTGCAACGCAATGCAACATAGGGTGTAAACTTTGCTCATTACAGCCTCTGGATGAAGCAACGACCAACTCAGGAAATGTCTCTGATTCACTGACCTTTTCTTCTTAACAGCTACTATTCTGAAGCCCAGCACTTTACAGACATGGGTTCATCTCACTGTTATAAATAACACTACAAGGCAGGCATTATAATATTCCTATTTTTTTTACATGAGGAAATCTCCCCCCTGAGAACTGGAACAAGACAAAGATGCCCACTTTTACCACTTCTATTCAACACAGTACTAGAAGTCTTAGCCAGAGCAATAAGACAAGAGAAAGAAATAAAGGGCATCCAAATGAGTAAAGTGGAAATCCAACTGTCATTGTTTGCCGATATTGTGATTGCATACCTAGAAAACCCTAAAGACTCATGCTACACACCAACACTGACCAAGCTGAGAATCAAATCAAGAACTCAAACTCTTTCACAATAGCTGCAAAAACATTAAAATACTTAGGAATATATCTGCCAAGGAAGTGAAAGACCTCTACAAGGAAAACTACAAAACACTGCTGAAAGAAATCATAGATGACACAAGCAAATGGAAACACATCCCATGCTCATGAATGGGTAGTATCAATATTGTGAAAATGACCATACTGCCAAAAGCAATCTACAAATTCAATTCAATTCCCACCATCAAAGTACCACCACCATGCTTCACAGAACTAGAAAAAACAATCTTAAAATTACTATGAAACTGAAAAAGAGCCCACACAGCCAAAGCAAGGCTAAGCAAAAAGAGTAAATCTGGAGGCATCACATTATACTTCAAACTTCAAACTATACTATCAGGCTATAGTCACCAAACAGCATGATACTGGCAAAAAAAAAAAAAAAAAAAAGGCATATAGACCAATGCAACAGAATAAAGAACCCAGAAATAAAGCCACATACTTAAAGCCAACTCATCTTTGACAAAGTAAACAAGAACATAAAGTGGGGAAAGGACACCCTTTTCAACAAATGGTGCTGGGATAGTTGGAAAATGAATAATAACGGTGCTAGGATAACTTCAAAAATGAAACTGGATCCTCATCTCTCACCTTATACAAAATTCAACTCAAATGGATCAAAGACTTAAATCTAAGACCTGAAACCATAAAAATTTTAGAAGATAACATTGGAAAACGCCTTCTAGATATTGGCTTAGGCAAAGACTTCATGACCAAGAACCCAAAAGCAATTGCAACAAAAACAAAGACAAATAGATGGGACTTAAACTAAAAATCTTCTTCACAGCAAAAGAAATAATCAGCAGAGTAAACAGATAACCCACAGAGTGGGAGAAGATCTTTGCAAACTATGCATTTGACAAAGGACTAACATCCAGAATCTACAAGGAATGCAAACAAATAGTAAGAAAAAAATAAATCGAAAAGGGGGCTAAGGACATGGATGGACAATACAAATGGCCAACAAACAAATGCTCAGCATCACTAATGACCAGGGAAATGCAAATCAAAACCACATCGTGATATCATCCTACTCCTGCAAGAATGGCCAAAATCAAAAATGGAAAAATAATAGATGTTGGCATGGATGAGGTGTAAAGGGAACACTGACGCTGCTGGTGGGAATGTAAACCAGTACAACTATAATGGAAAACAGTGTGGAGGTTCCTTAAAGAACTAGAAGTAAGAACCACCATTTGATCCAGCAATTCCGCTACCGAGTATCTGCCCAGAGGAATGGAAATCATACCAAAAGGACACATGCACACAAATGTTTATAGCAGTACAATTTGCAATTGTAAAAATATGGAACCAGCCCAATACCCACTAATCAATGAGTGGATAGAGAAAATGTGGTATGTATACATCATGGAATACTACTCAGCCGTAAAAAGGAATGAAATAATGGCATTTGCAGCAATGTGGATGTAGCTGGAGACCATTACTCTAAGTCAAGTAACTCAGGAATGGAAAACAAAACATCGTATGTTCTCATCGATGGGCGCAAGGTAAGCTATGAGGATGGAAAGGCATAAGAATGATACAATGAACTTCGGGGACTCAGGGAGAAGGGTAGGAGGAGGGAGAGGGATAAAAGACTACACATTGGGCATAGTGTATACTGCCCAGATGATGGATGCACCAAAATCTCAGAAATCACCACTAAAGAATTAATCCATGTGACTAAAAACCACCTGTTCCCCTAAAATCTATTGAAATTTTTAAAAAACTGAATTAAATAAATAAATAAATACATAAAGTGAGGGAAGGTGTGGCTAGGTGGTTAGTTGCAGTGGTTCATACCTGTGGTCCTAGTACTTTGGGAGGCCAAGGTGGGTGGCTTGCTTGAGCCCGGGAGTTCGAGACCAGCCTGGGCAACATGGTGTGGGGAGGATACTTTTATGAGCTGCGGGGACTCAACATTAGCACTTGGGAAGAGACAGGCTGTATGCAGTGCTGCAGATTTAAGACAAGCCCTTGGGAAGACTGAATGCCATGGGAAAGCCACAGAGCAACTGCCTGATCTCGTATCTACTAAAAATACAAAAATTAGCCAGGCGAGGCAGGGCACAGTGGCTCACGCCTGTAATCCTAGCACTTTGGGAGACTGCGGTGGGCCTATCACCTGAGGTCAAGAGTTCAAGATCAGCCTGGCCAACATGGCGAAACCCCGTCTCTACTAAAAATACAAACATTAGCTAAGCATGGTGGCGTACAGCTGTAGTCCCAGCTATTTGGGAGGCTGAGGCAGGAGAACCACTGGAACCCAGGAGGCAGGGGTTGCAGTCAGCTACGATTTTGCCACTGCACTATAGCCTGGGCAAGAGTGAGACTCCAACTCAAAAAGTAATAATTAGCCAAACGTGGTGGTGCAGGCCTGTAGTCTTAGCTAGTTGGGGGGCTGAGGCAGGAAGATCACCTGAGCCTTGGGAAGTCAAGGCTGCAGTGAGCTGTGACTGTGCCACTGCACTCCAGCCTGGGAATTCCTGGGCATGCTCTGTGAGCCACTTGCTTCCCCCATGTGTCAATCCAGCATTGGGACTGGAGCCTGCCCATGTTATTCCTTCACTGCCACCTTCAGGAAGGGTGGAAGAACATCGCTCCTAGCTGATTTCCTCTAGCAGTAATACATTATTGGTGTCAACTAGCTGGGGCCCACCTGGTCTAATAGCAAAGAAGCTGTAACTGGCACAGAAGAAACTGTTCCCGATGATGGAGAAAGAACGAGCCGGATGGGGTGTAATGTCCTGGGGTAGGTGTCCCAGATACTTTATCTCCTTTGCAAAGGGCTGTTCTGGCTCCTCTGGGTGCTGCTTGCGAGTGGCGACAGCTCAGAGGAGCGGGATGAACATGTCCTCTGAGTCCAGGACCCCATCCCATTTCACTGGCGGCTGTGCCACGCATCAGTCAAGCAGCCTGGGGGAATGCCATGTCTTCTCCTGGGACTGTGAACAAGAGGGCTTCTAGGCCTCACATTCTCTGAGTATCTTAATTTCACAGAGAAAAATTTCTCATGGTTAAAAATGTCATCCAAGAACACTAAAAATAAATTCTCATTTTCTGTGGAAAAAGGCTCGAGTTCTACCTTGTTCCCCCTCAGACCCCCTAAATCTGGTATTTTTACTCCCCTCAAAAATAACCTTTTTAAAGGGCACCTGCCAATAGCTGCGTGGCCTTTCTGTGGGGAGGATGCTTTTATGCTCTGTGGGGACTCACCATTAGCACTTGGGAAGAGACAGGTTGTATGCATTGCTGCAGATTTAAGACAGTCCCCTGGGAAGACTGAATGCCATGGGAAAGCCACAGAGCAACTGTCTGATCATGGAACGCTGGCTGTCCCGAGACTCCACGCCTTCCAGAGACCCTTGGCCAAGGGAAGGGTCACGACTCACCAAGGCAGCTCTTCCTTCCTTATTTGTTTGTTTGTTTTAAGAGAAAATGTCTTTCTATGTTGCCCAGATCTGGAACTCCTAAGCTCAAGTGATCCTCCCACCTCAACCTCCCAAGCGGCTGGGACTACAGGTGCACACCACTGCCGCCGTGCCTGGCTTTTTTCCTAACCTTTTGCCACTAATGTGAATCAGAAAGAGATCTTCATGGGTTCACTTGGATACTCTGGCCAAGAACCAAGAAGAGAAAAGCTGACTTTTAAAAGCATAGAATTTGTGTAAATTTATTCAGGTCTAAATCTATCTGAGCTACTTTCCACGCTCTGTTCCAGACATGCCCTGTGATCTCCTCAACAGAATGGCAGCAACGCATTCTCACAAGGTTGAAAGGAACAGGAAAGGATGGAACCTCAGAGCCAGACGGCCCTTTGTGAGAAAAAGGGAGGCAGGCAGTCTGGCTTCTCAAAAGGAAAGGGACGCTGGGGATGATCCAGTCCAGGAGTAGCAAACAGTTTCCATTTCTGTTGTCAGCTCCAACAGATTGGCTGGGAAGCAGTTTCTTGGGATGCTCATCTTCAGAGGAACTCCGGGGCTGTTTCTGTGCCCAGCTGGAAAAAGTGCTACATTAGATTCCTAGGGTTGCTATCACAAATTATCGTAAATGTGGTGGCTTAAAATGACAGAAATGTATTATCTCTCAGTTCTGGAGACCAGAATCCTGAAATAAAGGCTCTGGCAGAACCATGCCCACTCCAAAGGCTCCAGGGGAGACTCTTTCCTTGCCTTCCCCACTGCTGATGGCTCCTGGTGTTCCTTGGCGGATGCCAGCATCCCTCCACTCTCTGCCTCTGTCATCCCTTGGCTTTTTCTCTTTGTGCCTCTCTGTGTGTACATCTCCCTCTCGTTTCTCTTACAAAGACATTGGTCATTGGATTTAGGGCTCACCCTTAATCCAGGATGATTTCACCTTGAGATCCTTAACCAGTTACATCTACCAAGACTCTATTTTGAAACCAGGTCACATTTTCAGGTTCTGGGCAGATACGTGTCTTGAGGGAACATTATTCAACCCAGTGCAAATGCCATGATGGTTTAGCAAGCCGGACATGGGTTTGGGGCTATGCAGGGATAGGGCTCATGTCTTTTGCCTTCTGATCTGCCATGCTGATCTAGTCCAAGCCCATAGCTTTACAGATGATAGCAGAACTGAGGTTCAGACAATAAAAAGGTCTTGACCCATACCACTTAACTACGTAATGCCGGAGGAATCAAGAACAGAGAAAGATAAAGAGGTGGGGGAGGCAGTTGGGATGGGGAAGTGTAGGGTGGGAGGGGATGAAGATGAATATTACTGCCTTGATTGTGGAATAACTGAGAAAGGCATCTTTGCATTTAAAACCATTGGCCAAAGAGGATCTAGATGGGACAAGAAAATAACAACCAGCCAATTAGAGAGAAAATGTAGGCATTTTAGAAGAATTAGTACCGCACTGGGGATCAGTTTGCAGAAGATCATCTGCCCTTTTTCCGGCTAAAGGAATGAGAGCTCCTCTCACTGGGCAAAAGCCTTTCCAGGCTGGTCCCTGAAAGCATCATGCGTACAGATGCCTGCTGGTTGCCATGGTGAATGATGCTGATCTGAAGAAATGAATAATGTGAGCATTAGGGTGACAGTGGGATTACTCAGTGTTGAGAGAAACAACACGGAGAGCCAGAGCGGAGGAGGGAGAAGGCACCATTCTCGCAGCTTTGGTCTACTACGCCTCGGAGGGCACAGCTCTAACCAGACACGCTGCGAGCATCAGGTAAGGGATACAGACGGCTCTTCTTGGAAATGGAAATGGCTTCTCTTTTCACGCTTTGCTTGGAGAAGGGCCAGGCAATGGCAAATGAATAGCTAAAAATAGGGGAGAATTTAGAAACAGAAACAGAGGAAGAAAAATCATTAAGGGAGATGGATCTGGCCCTAAAAGCTGAGGATGCTGTTTGTGTCTTGGCAGAAAGCTCTTAAAAATGTCTGCTAATTCCGTGTACAGACAGCCAGTGGCAGTTAGGAAGCCAAGAGAACATTTGTGCATGACAAGAAACAGGATTCCTGATTACTCCTGACGGAAGGGTTTTACACAGGTGGCTGCCTATGTATCATAAGTAATGAATTAAGCTCTTTCATTGTGGTCGAAAGTGTATTTATAGAGATGTGTGGGGTGGGGAGGATGAACGCGTAGACACCAAGCAGGAACATAAACATTTGGTCTCCTTCATGATGACCTTCCCTGGAAGGGTCTGAGCACATCTGTCTCATCCCTTTCATTCCCCAATTTCTGGGAAGAAATTTTCAGCCACATGGAAAGACATTGTTCACCTTCCTGAGCATCTTAGTTCACTGTTACTCTTAGAGAAGAAAAACAAGGATTGAGAAATCACTCAATGCTGTGCACCTTTCTGCAGCTCATCTCCTGAAGGAAAATGGGCACAAACACAGGAGGGTGAGTGAAAGTGAAGGAGAGAGAAACGCAGGTCATAATAGCCATCGGTTTGGCTTCATATCCAATGCAGGCGAAAATCCAATTGACAGCTGTTTACTATGTCACTGCAACCCAAAATAAAACCTACTGGGTTTTATGTGCAAGCGGAGGGGCAGAGGACAAAGCAGGGTGAGACCTTTATGTGAACATACATAGGCTATGACTGTCTCTGTATTTCTGATCACGGGAAAACAGTAGAAGGAACTGCATGAGAGAAACTAAAATACTTGAAGATGGCTCTGTCTTATCAAAGTGGGGCCTGGCAATCTGAAGAGGGCTCATTTGATTTGTCTGGAAAAACATAAACTGGGTCTCAGCCCTGGCACCTCATTTTGCAATAGCGTCTGTAACTAAACCCAGCAGCCTTGCACTAGGAAATGCAGTGGTTAAGCGGCTTTGAGTCTTTCTCTCTATTCGTGGCATGACATCTGGTTGCTCATCCATAAAATGGGAATCGAGCTCAGAGGGTGTGAGCAAGAATAAAGGAAATTAATTACTGCCTGTGAATCATCTCGCACGACCCGTGACATAGCAAGCACTTTCTGTGAGTGGTTACCATGATTAACATTCATAATGCCAGCAGAATTAAATAGCGGTAGTTATGCTGATATTAGGGGCTGATTATTTTCACCTATGAAATAAATTTCCTGATACCGCTGGCTTTGAAAAAACAAACGAACAAAACAGGAGCAGAGGCTTTGGGGTGAAATCAGCTGCCAGAGAGTGACGAAGCGAATTTCCACTCACCATGGGCAACAGAACCAGGAGGCTAAAAAAAAAAAGCAGTGGGCAGAATGTTCTAGATCACTGAGCTCACAGTACTTGGAGCAGAAACAGGAGGTCAAGAAGGAAAATTTAGGTGAATCAATTGCCTGAGGGGAGGTCACAAACCTGAGCATGAAGGTGGAGCCTCTGAGGTTCTACTGATTTCTCCTTACCTTTTCTTCTTTTTTCTTAAAGGGATGAGAAAGATGTTGTTATGTGAAGGATTTCGGCAAGGGTGAGATGTGGCTGGGATAAGCTGGGTACATGTCTCCTTAGGCCCGAAGGCCTCCAACTTTGACATGGGACGGCCCCGGTTTTAACTTTTGTCCTGCCTTTTCTTCACTATGCCTAAATAGCAGAACCTCTCGGTCTCCACTGCTTTGTCTGTAAGATGAGGGCAATAGGAGTGCCCGTCTTAAATGTGCAATAAGTGGTGGCTATGATTATGATAAGTACATACTTAAATCGGGGGATGTCACTCTTCACTTTGATTCTGGTTCCAGAATCGGGATGAACATCGAGGTTGGGAACATTTCTCATACAGGAGCCATCATCTCCTGGTCGCCCTCGGAGCCCTGCCTGGAGGACTATTACCATATTATGTACAGGCCCACCTGGAACAGCATCTTCTCTGGCTATCTTCGTTACAGCTTCCACCACGAGGAGAAGGTGCCTCGAACGATCAGCTCCGTGGTGCTGGAACATCTCGCCCCTTCCACTTTCTACTTCCTGTGCATCAGCTGTAAGAAGGCTGCCTTCCCTCACAGGCACTACTGCACAATGTTCCACACCTTGGATAAGAGTCCGCTGGCTGCTGGAAGCTCCCTGGTGGACCCCCAAATCTCCCTTTGGGTGCTGATGGCCATTCTACTGGCCTGTTTCACAGCCGTCTTGGCCTTCATCTGTCTCCAGTTCTGGTGTGTCCGCTACCATGAGCCGCGATGGTCCTACAGAGCTGGCCAGATGGAGGAGGCCAATGGGTTGGTGAGATGGCCAGAGGAGGCCCCAGCTCTGGGTCAAAGGGAGGAAGACCTGCAGGGGCTCCCCCTGGTGGAAGTGCCACGCAAGAACTCCAGAGATGGAGCTGAACCGGACCGGGAAATCAACCAGGATGCCTCTGATGCGGGTGCCTTACAGAGGGAGGGTGGTGACCAACTCGCCACACTGCCTCATTGCAGGGAATAAGAGCAGGGAGGAGAGGGCTCACATCGTGTAGCCTAAAGCTTTCCACACAGTAGGTCTTTTGTACAAATGTGTCTATAGACTACCCATTTCTCTCCCATTGTGGGTCACCTGGGTTGGATGAGTGCCCCATGACAAAGCTTCTTAAGCTGGAAAATGTATCCCCCAGGGTATGCCAAGGTACAAATAGGGCATCTCTGCAGCAGTGTCCACTCAGGGGACATCGTTAAGAACTGAAAACATTATTTTAACATTAAAACAAATACGGATATGTTATAAAGTAGAAAGCAGAAATTTGCATGACTGACATGAAACAGTACTTGAAGGAAATGTTTGGGTTGCAGGTAGGCTCTCTGAGGTACACTTTTGGGCAAAGGCAGATGTCCAGTTTCCTCTGCCCTTGAGGGGATTATTTGGAAAAATGTGAGAAGCTTCTTTTAGGCCATCACACACCACCTGTCTCTATTTTTTTAAACCATGAATTATCTTTACTATTCATACGTTCCTTTAAATTGACTCATTTTTAAGTGTAAACTTATTTTCAAAGACAGCCTTATCTTATTCCATAAGTGAAAAGCCAGCACCCTCCTGCTACAAACAGAAGGGACCAGATATAAGAATAAACATTGTGAAAGTAAGATAATATTCAGTCTTAGCTTCTACCGCCTGCCAGTGACTCTGAGCTTCATGCCTGCTTGCTTGTCTTTGATAAAAAGAGATCCAGTGTTGGAGAGGTAATAAAGACACATTAGTACCAATATTTGTCTTTCTTCTTGACATAGCATAAGGTTTGAAAAGAGAATCGAAAAGGGAAGTGCTATTTTTACTTTGTAAGTCTGTGTTAGTTTCATTTGAGGTGAACCACCTCAAATGCTGTCAATCAGCTTCCCTCGATTTGAGAAAACTGCCTTGAGCAGACCAGGCTGGTTGTTCTGGAGAAGATGCCTGTACTTTCCCAGCATCATCCTAAGACCTTCCAAGTGCCCTCTTATATCTACGGAGGACAAAATTCCAGAATCACAGGACGACACTGCTATGAATCAACTGAGAAACAGCAGGAGCTGAGAGGCCAAGACAAGAAGCCCCACATCCCTATTTCCTTGCCCCCTCAATAAAGTAAATCCTCACCTGACTGCTCAGCCTTCCCCACTCAGCATCCAGTCTCCACAGTCTGCTTTTGCCCTTATTCCTGCTACTTGTGAACAAATAAAGATGCATATACTCGCAGATGTTTCTGCTTGGCTCTCATTGCTGCCTTTTCCCTTTCTTTTTAGAGACAAAGTCTCACCCTGCCACCCAGGCTAGAGTGAAATGGTACAATCATAGCTCACTGCAGCATCAAACTCCTGGGCTCAAAGGATCCTCTTGCCTTAGCCTTCCAAGTAGCTGCTGGTGCATGCTGCCATGTCTGGCTAATTTTTTAATTTTTTTTTTCTTGTAGAGGCAGGGTCTTACTATGTTGCCCCGGCTGTTCTCAAATTCTTGGTCTCACGTATCCACCTGCCTCAGATTCCCAAAGTGCTGGGATTAAAGGCATGAGCCGCTGTGCCTGGCATTGCTGCCTTTATCTCTGCACCTTCATGCTCGTCTAATTCAGGGACACTTTTCTATTTGCTTTTTCTCACCAACCGTCTTCCAGGCAGGGTGGGGCAGGACTACTTACCTTGGATCCATAGAGGTAATAAGGCTGGACGTTGGCAGGTTTGTCTCGTTGTGGTTCTTGGGTGAAAGGAATGGCAGTCCGGACAAAACTAGTAGAAGCAAAGCGATGGGGAAGAGTTAAAATGGTCCTGATATTCTTCTTCATGGGACACAGATAGCAGGAGCGCTTCCTGACCCAGTGAAGGTTTGCACTGGTGCAACTGCACTGTTGGTTAGGTGACTATAAAGGTACTAAACTCTTCCAACATCTTCCCATTCAACTACTGTCACCTTTCCATAGATGGGAAAACTTCAGTCTAGATTCCTGGGCTCAACAAGGGGCTTGTGGCTGCTCAGAAGGACAGTAGGCATATAAGTTAAGAGTGGGGTAGGCTTGAACATGGCTTTCTCTGGAGCTCCACTCCTCTACCTCCAGTTTGGTTTCTTGAGAGCAGAGTTCAGCAAACTCTTTCTCAAAAGAGCCAGGCAGCAAATATTTTCAGCTTTGCAAGCCAGACAGTCTCTCCTGCAAGTACTGAACTCTGCTGTTGCAGCATGGAAGCACCCACAGACAGTAATAAACAAATGGGCGAAACCGAGTTCCAATAAAACTTTATCAATTACCAATCATTTTCACCTAAATATTATTATTCTTTGGACTTTTTCCCGTCAACCACCCAAAAGTGCAAATACTATTCACAGCTCATGGGCTTTACAAAAACAGTCAGCAACTAGATGTGGTCTGTGAGCCACAGTTTGCTGCTCCCTGCTCAAGAGCGTTAAAACTCCTAAATCTTTACAGAACTGGAAATCTATCTCACTTAGTGTATGGATTCAGGTTGATTTGTGCACATCTCCCATATCCTTCCATTCTTTCAATACATACTCATTTAATACTGGCCTGAGCCAAGCCTTAGGGATACCTACAAGATCTGAAGATGAATACATTTTTTTGCATCCTTACACACCTATTTTGTATGTAAATATATATGCCTCACCTCTTCCACCAGGTTATGAGCCTTTGTTGGGATAAAGAAATTAGGTCTTGCCTCCCCCAGTGCCTGGCCCAGGGCTGTGTATACCTTGCAGGAGGCAAGTTCCACTTGTTATGCATATGTGTGCTCTGTTATGCATATGTATGCTGTTTTGCATGCATGCTTTCAGATACGTGGATATCCTTACAAGCATACAATCTGATCATGTCACCTCCTTTCCTCAAATTCTTTCGGGGTTAATAAAAATGTAATAACAATTGTACAAGCGTACAATCTGATGTCACCTCCTTTCCTCAAACTCTTTGAGGGTTAATAAAAATGCACGATCCTGCCCTGGCCTCTAGGGTACTGCCCAATCTGTTCCTGTGTTCTTTCCCACCCGACTAGTTCACTCTCATCAACCTCTTAGAGAAACCCTTGGACACTTGCCTGGAATATTCTTCTCCTGCCTTTTTGCCTTAATTAGTCCTACTCATCCTTTGCATCTTAACTCCAGCATTACTGCCTCAAAGAGGAAGCCTCCCTTGAGGTTTGCATGACTTGTTGGACTAAAATAGGTGGTGCTGTTACCTCTGTCACGGCCCTATGGGCTTTCCTTCATCTTCTTATTCACTGTTCATAATGGTACCTTTGTCATGTGATTGTTTGATTACTCACATCTTCCTCTAGCCTGAAGACTCCAGAGGCAGAAAGGTATGTGTTCACCAGGGCATGCCCCATGTTTTACTGGGGCAGTAAAACACCCAAATGGGCAACTTCAGAATAGTACTAGAAAGAGCTCGTCAATGAGAAGGCCTAATTGTTAATCACATTCAACTGTCAACCAGCTCTGTGACCTCAAGCAAGTGACAGAGCACAGAGCCTGTGCCCAGGAGGTGCTCTGAGAGACACCTGTTGCAGGAACCACTCACATGTGTGCTGATCCTAGTTTGGAAGAGGCAATGGTCACTCTCCCAATCCCTGCCCACCCGCCTCTGCACAGGGACTCCCTTACCGGTTCGTGGACCCATTGTAGCAGTAGTTGGGGAGAAAGTCAAAGTTCAGTTCCCAGAAGACATGCAGGGTGATGCGGCCGTAGGGGGCGGACACATTGTGATTGGCTTCCCGGAACATGGCATCAAAGCTGTCCAGCGTCATGTGCTTACAGAGCAGCCGGTGCGTGAGCCGGTTAATCTCCAGCAGCCACTCCAGCTCCTGCCCAGAGAGAGAGCCCACAACTGCTGAGGACTCGCTTGTAAGCCTTACATGTGTGTGCTTTATCTTACTGATTCCGTTCATGCAAGTGACAGCTGCTCAGACAACTTCTCGACCATCTACATGGGAACTAGGACCCTGCAGTAGCAGGTGACAAGGTTTCCTTCTTCTGAGAAGTGGAAGGATTGTCAGGCTATGCTAGGGCCAAGGTAGAGGAAGGGGAGGCTGCATGCCTACCCTGTGGAAGGAGACCATGAACCATGTGCAAATCCCCTGATTACATCCCTTTGGGTAACGAGCAAGCTTACTTGCTTTCCAGTTTCTATATCAGTGAGAAAAAAGCAATAATAAGAGCTACCAATGATTAAGGGCTTACTGTTAGGTTGAACCCTGTAATGTTACTGTTTTTTTAAGGTCAAATACTCGCAATTTTGCATGGTTCAACCAAATCAGTATGTGCCAGTTTTACATCAACTTATTTAAAGCTTATCAAACCCTATGAGGTCAGTACTGCTGTTCTTATTTTACACATATGGAACCTGAGGCTTTGAGAAGTTAAGTAACTTGGCTTCAAATCCAGGAGGCTCCAAAGTTCACATTCTTAACCGCCATATACTCTAACAGCTATAGAAATTTTAAAAAGAGGTGGGAGCAGAATGCCTCATCCTTTGGAGTATAGGCCCCTCGAGGTGTCACATAGGGGTGGCAAAGGCATGGCTAGAAGCCATGGGCAAGCAGTCTATAATCAGCTCATAATGACCTGAAATCTATGTGCACTGTGGGCCCTGAATGAAGAACTCCCATCTTCAGGCAAAGTGGAATACTTCAGTGGACAGTGTCTGCACACAGCAGGACATGGCATTTGTTGGGAAATGAAAGAAGAGTGTAACTCTTTCAACACGCTTTGGTCTCTCACTGTCCTGTAACTTCCCCCCACTGCTTTCAAAAGGAACCAAAGCACAGTCTTGTGTAGAGACAGAAAGCACCTGAGGCCACTCCTGTGTTGTTTTGGTTAAGCCATCTTTAAGATAGGTACAATGGTCCCTCATTCACAGGCAGGGGAAATGGAGGCCCAGAAGGTTAAGTAACTTGCCCAAGGTCACCATAACATGGCTTAGGATGTGAATCCAAGTCTCATTCCAAATCATGTGTTCTTGGTCCCTAAGATACAGTTCCCTGGAATAAGGATGCAAGAGCTATGAAAGTCCTCTGAAAGGCAAAGATGGCTTTACAACATAAAGGCTAAAAAAACATTGGCAAGGCCAATTCATTAGAGCATGGCCAGGTAGGATGGCCATGGAGTCAGCTGTAATGGCTGGAATATGTCCACAGGAGGCAGCCTCATGCCAGAGATTCAATTGCATTCTCATCAGCCACAAAGACTCCTGGATGGAGACCAGGGTATGGTCAGGTGGAGATCCCAGGCTATGTTTCCAATTTTTGGAGCTCTGCCTCTCTGAAACTCAGATTCTGTGGCTGTAAATTGAAATGTGCAGAAATGGTTGAAGGCTTGCAAACATACACAGCTAAAGAAACAGACAGGTCAGGAAAGTGGGATCAACTGGGGTGAGGACAAAGTTTGGGGAGTGGGTCCATCTATGGGAAATTGAAGGGCCCTGCCCAGGTAAAGGTGGAGCTGCTACTTCTGATACCCCATCAGACTGCTGCCATATTGGAGTGGGGGATCAGAGATGGCAAATCCTGCAATTTTTCAAAACAAGATCAGAATTTCAATTCTGGAACAGCATCCAGAGGAGTAAGTTTCCAGTCATTGTGTACGATGAAGTAAATGAAGGGCAGAATACAGATCCAGCTTTCTGATTCTGTCTCCTGGGGGCCTGGCTAGCTGCAATATGTCTTTATTCTGATTCACTTAGAATGGGTACTAAATAAATGAAAAATACATGAAGTAAGCACTGCCGAGTTTATTTCTAACATTGCTGAGTCCCCTGGCACACTGTGGTGCCTTGTTACTGGGAAGACGACTGAGAAGCTGGGGAACAATTTCTGTGTTATCGTTCTGTGACTTTAGCAGTCTCATAGCAGGAGACTGAAGGATAGGCAGAGTCTGCTGGAATTGCAGGTCCACTTCTTCCTGCACATTATATAACCCAAACGATATTTCTGCATCACATTTTGGATTTGTTCTCCTGGCCTTGAAATCAGAAGAGGGCGTGTGCCTGCCGGATGCAGGGCTCAATGTACCAAAGCATGGAAAAGGCTTAGAAGGCCACATGGGCAGTTTAGGGGTCTCCTAAGAGGACGACAGCTTTCCACAGTAAGGCTGGTTTACTAAAGGCCAAAGCAGAGAAACAGAACTGGGAAGTAAAACACCCAAATGGGCAACTTCAGAGTAGTAGCATTAAGAGCTCTTCAATGAAAGACCTGATTGTTAAT